ATTGTACTTATCAGATTTTAAAATTGTGAACAGGAAGTGTAAAACTATCCACCAGAGACAAAATAATCAAAAAGAGATATCAATTATTTTATGAGCAGCTACAAGAGTTGAGGGTGAGGTAGCAAAGGAAGCAGGGGAGAGACAGGCAAACACACACACACACACGCACGCACACCCACACAAACCCAGACAGATACTGAGGAAGACTCATGTGAGACCAGATACAGAAAAAGGGAGAGAGATCTCAGAACCCATCTTTGGCCCGTTTAGAATACAGCCACTGACACCTTTCAAGGTAGTGATGCATTTTTTGACAAATATGGGACTTTCCTGTGTACTAATCTCGTGGGTCATTTGGAATCTTAAAGAGAACAGGAGACTAATTGTTTTGCTTTTGTGGTCTCTAAGCATCTCCAGGGCAAGACTGGGCCTACTATTTTTTTAAACTCCTTTCAACAGCCTAGATGGTGTTCTGTCCCTAGTTGATGTCTAATAACAGACTCTCTTATTTTTTCCTCTGGGAAGATTAACTGCAATGGCTTCACTCTCAGCGACCAGCGAGGCCTGCAGCCAGTGGGCGTGGGTATCTTCCCCAACCTGGGTCTGGTGAACCATGACTGTTGGCCCAACTGTACTGTCATATTCAACAATGGCAAGTGAGTATGTCTTTACCTGGGGGTGGCGTCATGGAGATGGGGAGACTTTATGGTGTTTTCTCCAGTTGACTTAAACCAAAGGCAAACTGAACCAGCAGGGAATTCAAATGTGTAGCAAATAGGAATCTCATTTTAGAATAATTGTGAATGGGAGAAAGGGAATGAGGAGGCTATCAAATAATTCTACATGGGTTATTTCTGAGTCTTTGCATGTTTTTGAGGCTAACGTCTAACTACTATTTTAAAACTTGAAGCCTTGGATTATCTATCAAGAGATCATTTCATATCAGCACTGAATGGGAAGGGGCCTGGCAGAGGCGCATGTCAGCCAAGGTCCCAGTAGGAATCAGTAGGCACAGATGTTCAAAGGAGTTTATCAGGAGAGAATTTAATAGCGAATTCAACGAAGAGACAATTTACAGAATGTGGACACAGCTTAAGGAACCAACAAGGAATGGTTTATCAGGAGAGAATTTAATAGAGAATTCAACAAAGAGACAATTTACAGAGTGTGGACACAGCTTAAGGAAGCAACAAGGAATGGTGAATAAGCAGGGTCTAGCAGCAGCATGAGGCCATTACCACTTCTAGACCTGAGGGGCAAGTGGGGGAAGCACTATAGCTGCAGCTGGTGAGAGCCAGAGCTGTGGGAGTTGTGACTGTAGAAAAACCAGCCACAGCCAGAACCATGGCGGGGCAGAAAGGAGCCAGGGCAGTGAATACCCTGACCTCTCTCTCCTTCCACCTTCTGATCTCCTTCCATTGCCCAAACCCCTGCTGGGAGCCAGAGGGCAAAGGAGCGTCAGTGCTGTAGCCCTCAGAGGTCAGCCTTTCCACCACCAAAGGCACAGATCTGGAGAAGAGCAAAGAATGGATCTTGGGGGCAAAAATAGAAAAAACCAGCAAAGGGAATGAGCCCCTGGTTGTTCATGGCTCAGGCTGGGAAGATCTGGGGAACAAGGCCTGAGCAATATTATTTCGTTTGCTCTTAGAGACAAGGTCTCACGGCAGATGCAAGATGTCTCTGAGCCGTCTACAGTGAGCAGGTTTCTCCCCCAGATTTCCAGGAAGTCAAAGACAATAGCTTCTGGTTTTCAGCTGAGAACAAGGCTAAACTCCAATGTAGCAAAGACTCTGATTTCCCTTTTCCTTCCTATTTCTGAAAGCAAGGGCCTGCATGAGAGCAGGCTCGTAAGCAATTGAGAAAGTCTCTCAACATAGGGAAGTTTATTTTTAGATACAGATTATAATCTTTTCCCAGCATTTCTGTTTCCCTTCCTGAGCCTCACTGGCCTGGACCTCATGGAGTCCTCCCGGAGGGCTTGTTGTCTGGGCTTAGCCTGCTTGGCAGAGAGGGTCAAATTCAGGGCGGGTTTTTCTAGGTGCCGTCCCACTAAGTGGTGGTGACCCAGGGTGCCATTTGTCTCTATATCTAATAACCGCAGGAACCTGGGAACCTATTCTTCAGATCATCTCTGGAGCCTGCTCTGGCTTCTTTGTGCCTACTAATTGAGCATCTGCATTCCACCTGAGCTTCTTGGCTGTTGGGCAAAAGAAGGTGACTTTGCAGTCCCTGCCTAGTTGTCTGCTATAGTGGAAAGCATCCTGGACATGGTGTGAGGAGCTCAGTTCTAACCACAACAATTTTCACACTGTGACCTGGAGTCCCTGGGTGGTGCAGATGGTTAAGTGCTGGACTACTAACTGAAAGGTTGCTGGTTTGAATCCACCCAGAGGCACCTCGGAAGAAAGGCCTTGAAATCTGCTTCAGGAGGGTCACAGCCTTGAAAACCCTCTGCAGCACATGGGGTCTCCATGAATGGAACTGACTCGGTGACAACTGGTTTTTTTGTTTGTTTACTTGTATGACGTAACTCGTCTCCATGCAGAATTCAAACTTTCCTCAAGATGGACATCAAAAGAGGGAACTCGTTAACAAGATAATAATAACACCCCATACATTTTTTAGCACTCTGCTTTTAAATGCATTGTCTCGTGACAGTCTCGTTACCAAGTTACAGAGGAGAACACTGAGACTCAGGGAAGTGAAGTAACTTGTTCAAGGCCGAGTACCTTTGAACCTAGAACTTCTCGTTCCAAATCCAGCACACTTTCCACTGTACCAGGCTGTGTCTAGTCACGTGAGCCCAGCTAGAAGGTGCTGGGATAAAGGTTGTTGGGTGGCCAAAGCTTTGTTTGCTTAACCCAGAAAGCTGTGTACTCTCGCGAGCTGTACTGAATTAGCCAGTTGTAATGATTTCTGTTTGGGTGTCTGTTTTGTCTTTCAGTCATGAGGCAGTGAAATCCATGTTTCATACCCAGATGAGGTGGGTCAGTCCTTCCAAGCACCCCTGCTTCTCTGACCCATCTCCTTCATTACCTGGTTTGCTGAGGCCACCCCGTCCCGAGACTTCTTGGCTGCCGTGTGTCGGTGATGTTCTTCTGAACCCCAGTCTCGCCTTTGCTGACTGGTGCATTTTTTAATGCATTTAAATTAATCACCCTGTTCCTCACCCCACCCACCACCTGCCCTGCCTTTGCTTACTTTGTTCCCTTTCTGCTCCCACTTTCATGCCTCACTTCTCCCTCTTCTCCAGTCCCAAAGCATGAAAGTCCCTTTTCATCCACAGCATTTTAGTGAAAGCCTACCTCTTCCGCAAAACCTGTTTACTACGACACGAGACTGTTATGTTACTTACCAACTAACGGACTGTGTGTTTGTTTGTAACCCCAACTTCTCACCCAGACTGGGTTCTGAAAGCAGCACCGGCAACTGTTATTTTTGATAAATATTTATTCATAGAATTCTGTTTACTGCTTCTGGCCAACTGTGAATTAGTGGCTTAGGTCAGATTTCATGTTTGACTTTTCTTATTAACAACCACACGGCCTAGACTGGTCTTTTTCACAGGCTAGCCTGGAGAACACATGAGGTGGTTTCTGGCTTAAAGACCAAACGCTGCGTGCGAGTTTGGGGTAGGAGCACTTGGTGCATCTGCGTTTGTGTCAGTGTGCATCATGGCTTTGGACCATCCACATCCTCTCCTGGGCCTGGGCTCCACATCTGCAGAGCGCAGGGCAGGATGGGAGGGTCTCTAGGGACCTTCCTAGCCCTAAGTCTCGGTGACTCTGTTCTGCTGTAACCTCTACAAGAAGTACTTAAATCAGTTGCCTACTTGTAGCTCAATTAGCTGAACTATAGAATTGCAAACTGTTAGAGGTGGAAGAAGGGGCCCTGGTGGCGCACTGGTTAAGTGCTTGGCTGGTAACAGAAAGGTTGGCGGTTTGAACCCACCAGCGGCTCTGTAGGAGAAAGATGAGGCAGTCTGCTTCCGTGAAGATTTCAGCCTAGGAATCCCTACTGGGCAGGTAGGGTCGCTAAGAGTCGGAATTGACTCGAGGGCGCACAGCAGCAGATATGGAAGGGGCCTAAGGCCCAGGAGGGGAAGCAGCTCCTCCAAGACCGGAAGCTGTTGGAGGGAGGGCCGGGGGGCTAAAATCCTCACCTCCTGACTCCAGTGACCATTCCACAGTGGTCATCTTTTGTCCCCTAGTCCCCAGTTCCAGGTGAGGTAAAATGGGGCATATGCATATGCATTTTTTTCACATTTAAGTGATTTTAAATTAATTTGGTTTTTAAAACTCTCTAACACCACTGAAATAATTTGAGCCACCCTGAGACATGGCAAGAATTGGCTTAACCATGATGGTAAGCAAAGCTCCTGGGAATTCTAGCCCAGTTAGCCATTGAGTCACTGCTGAGTGAGGATATGTCGCCATGGTAAGCTGCCTCTGTAAAAGGGGCTAGCGGAGGCAGGATTGCTCACTTAGCCGGCCAGGGCCAAACATCAGAGATCCACATTCAACACTGGGCCAGGAGCTGCTCACGTGGAACTATTTAGGACATTACCCATTGCCATTGAGTCGATTCTGACCCATAGCAACCCAAAGGGCAGGGCAGAACTGCCCCATAGGGTTTCCAAGGTTGTAATCTTTATGAAAGCAGCCTGCCACATCTTTCTTCTGTGGATTGGCTGGTGGGTTCGAATTGCCAACCTTTTGGTTAATAGCAGAGTGTTTAACCACTGCGCAACCAGGGTGCCTCATTTAGAACATCAGTGGAGTCCTAAAAAACAAGGGCTTTGATATGCCTCATTTCCTGTGCAGTGCAGATCTGAGACGCTGACCAAAAACAATCAGGTGAGGCCAGTATGATGTGGTGAAGCATAAATGGCACTTGAGTTCTAATCTTGCCCCTGTTGCCAAAGTGTGGTGGGACCTTCACCTCCCTGGGCATCAGCTTCCTTATTGTGAGTTGAGCAGATTGGCTCCCTGCAGCTCGGACACGTTGTTAGCAGCCATCAAGCCAACCCATGGTGACCCCGCACACAGAGTTTTCTTTGGCTGATTTTCAGCAGTAGGTCACCAGGCCTTTCTTCCTAGTCTGTCTTAGTCTGAAAGCTCTGCTAAAACCTGTTCAGCATCATAGCAACATACAAGGCTCCACTGACAGATAGGTGGTGGCTGTGCATGAGATGCACTGGCTGAGAATCAAACCCAGGTCTCTTGCATGGAAGGCAAGAAGTCCACCACTGTCCCCGCAGCTCGGGCATACTGGCGTTCTAAGCTGAGCTGGGAGGGCACTTACTATGGCCTTCCTGGCCCTCTTGCACTTCATCCCTTCAGTAACAGCTGCTGCTGAAAATTGGGGTGGGGAAGAAAGGAAAGAAGGAACAGAAGGTGAACAGACACTTCTTTGTTGTTTTTATTTATATTATTACATTTACTGGGCACATCAGTGTATCCCACTTTGGGGGAAAGTTTTTCTGTTATTTGTCAGGACCCACCTCTGGAGCTAAAGATTAGGTAAGACTCTTGAAGCCCAACCTTTCTGCAGGAAAGTAACACCTGAACAAAACTGAGGTTTTCTATGGAGCAGAAAAGGACCTGGTGGGGTGGATGGTGTTTGTTAGGGAACCCACAAGGTTTGCTGCAGAGCTGTGCCTCAGTTGTCCACTTGTGTCGTATGCAAAGTAAAGCCTAAACTGCTTTAGACACAGTGTATTATTATTGTTTTAAATAATTACTTTTGCAACGTTGTGCAACCATCACTACTATTTACTTCCAAACCTTTTTCATCACCTGTTATGGATTGAATTATGTCCCCGCCAAAATATGTGTTGTAAATCCTAACCTCTATGCATTTGGAAATGAGTTGTCTTTTTTATGTTAATGAGGCGGGATTAGTGTAGAGTGTATCTTTTGAGATAGAAAAGAGATTAAACCAGCCAGCAGAGATGGGGGAAGCCACATGCCAAGCCACATGAAGATGGCCCAGGAGCAGAAGCTCAGAAGAGACAAGGACTTTCCTCAGAGCCGACAGAGAAAGCCTTTTCCTGGAGCTGGCACCCTGAATTCAGACTTCTAGCCTCCTAAACTGTGAGGAAATGAATTTCTGTTTGGTGAAGCCGCTCACTTCTGGTATTTCTGTTATAGCAACACTAGATAAATAAGACATCATCCCAAACATAAACTCTGTATCCATTAAGCAACAACTGTGGGAGAAGGTTTTCTAACCTTAAATGGCCACCTCAGATGCCTGGACATCATGTTACCACCATTCAGCTCTTGCTTGCTCAGTTGTCACTTATAGCATGTAGAAGGGGGCTGCCTTTGAGGAGACCCTCTGTGGTACTGAAATCTTGCCCTGCCTTTCCAACAGTGTCTTTAACTTGGCCTTTCAGGGAGGTAAAGGAAATGACGAGGAGTCTCTGCAGATGCTTGCTCTCCCCAGCCCTCTGCATCCTGCCACTTACTGTCTGGGTGAGGATATCTCACTGGGCAGTAAGGCCCGGGGCCGTGGGAAGATACAGGACCACAAGTTGGGATCAGGCTTGCAGGGCTCATCACGTGTTTCTTTAGCTGTCTAGCCTTGTGGGTAGAAGTTGCATGGCCGAGGGCCCCAGGGCTGTCTCCACTTGTTTGGCTTTGCTGGATGTTTTAGCAGTGGGCTTTGTCTTCAGCCCATTCTGTATCTATCAGAGGGTAAGGTGGCTGGTGGGGCTGCAGGTAATTGGAGGATGAGGTCTTGGTTGTAAGGGACTTGAAATGCCATCTGCTGTTGGTAGCCACCTTCAACCAGAAAGTTATGTCTCCCAATAAACACAAAAGTAAACCATGCAGCCGGCTAACAGAGCCAGCCTTTGACAATCTGCTTAACTGTTGGCGCTACCCAGGGACTCCCTGGGTGGCACAACCAGTTTGCGCTTGACTACTAACTGCAAGATTGATGGTTCTAACCCACACAGGGGCACCTTGGAAGAAGGGCCTGGCAATCTGCTTTTTTAAAGATTACAGCCAAGAACACCCTATGGAGCAGTTCTGCTCTGTAACACATGGGGTCACCATGAGTCAGAATGGACTCGATGGCAGCAGGTGTGGTTTTTTCCTTTTGGTTCAAGCATGTGTCTTCTTACCTAATATAGGCCTGAACTTGACTGAGCAGCAACTAACAACAACATTCGACTGAAGGTTAAGTTAAGAGAGGGCTTAAAGACAAAGCTAGACAAAATGGGCCAAGACTGGGATAACTAAATGTGTGCTTCTCAGAGAGTGGCTCCCAAACTAACCAAAAACGGTTTTTCCTTTTTTTTTGTTTTGGGTTTTTTGCTTTTTTTTTTTTGCTTTCCTTTTTTGCGGCCATTCGTTGTTTGGCCTTCCGGGGCCGTTTTTGGGCTTGGAGGTTTTTTTTGTTTTTTTCCCAGGCCTCCTTTTTCCCGGGGTTTTTTTTGGGTTGTTTTCGGGGGGTTTACTTGATTGGGGCGGTTTTGTTTTTTTTATTGGTTAAGTTGGAATTATCCAGAAAACTGCCTTTTCGGTTATATTTTCCCCCTCTTTTTTTTGTGGGCTTGGGAGTTTTCTCCAGGGCTTCAAACCAGTTCTTTTTGGTTCGAATCCCTGCTGAGAATTTGCATTTCTCCCAAGTTTCCAGGAAGTTACACATAAGAATCACCTGGGGATTTTGTTAAACTGTAGATTCTGATTCAGTATATCTGGTTAAGTGCTACAGCTGCTAATCAAAAGGTCGGCAGTTCAAATCCACCAGCTGCTCTGTAGAGTAGAACTGCCCTATAGGGTCGTTTTAAATCGGAATTGACTCAATGGCAACAGGTTTGGTTTTTTTTAGAGGGGTTGGAAATGCAAATTCTCAGCAGGGGTTCGAACCAAACAAACTGGTTCAAAGCCTTGGTTTTCTCAAAGTGCTGGTGGAAGTTGCTGTCTTTGAGACTCTGTTCCTTGAAACCTGGGAGAACACTTCAGTAGCCCTGGACTTGATTTATTCTTTCCTCTTACGCTGCTCCAGGATTGAGCTCCGGGCCCTAGGCAAGATCTCAGAAGGAGAGGAGCTGACAGTGTCCTATATCGACTTCCTCAATGTCAGCGAAGAACGCAAGAAGCAGCTGAAGAAGCAGTACTACTTTGACTGTACATGTGAGCACTGCCAGAAAGGGCTGAAGGACGACCTCTTCCTAGGGGTGAAAGATGACCCAAAGGTACACACAGCCCCAATACTTGGGTTTTTGTGACCATCTCTCAAGGAGCAAGTCAGGTGGATTTCCTAGCTAATCAGTTCCCCCCTGCCCACTGGTTTCCCAGAAGACCATCCCCTAACATGGTGTGGTGGACAGAACATTTCAGATAGGTCCCAGCTGGTATCCTGGTGCCACCACTTACCAGGTTTTGAGTTTGGGGACATTACTCAGTTTTCTCATCAACAAAATAGAAATTAAGGTACCCACTGCAAAGGGCTGTTATGGGGATTAGACACGATGACATATGTAAAATCCATTGCCGTCGAGTCGATTCCGACTCATAGTGACCCTATGGGACAGAGTAGAACTGCTCCATAGAGTTTCCAAGGAGCGCCTGGTGGATTCGAACTGCTGACCTTTTGGTTAGCAGCCGTACTCTCAACCACTATGCCACCAGGGTTTCCAGATGTATGTCAAGTGACTGGCATGTAGATTTTAGTTCTCTCCTTGACTGTTTGCAGGCTCAGTAATGCTGAAAATTTCAGATATTGAATGCAGATGGGCAAAGGGATTTGTCGTCTGGTTATCACAGAGGTATCCCTAGTCCCACAGAGGTGGGCAGTGTGGAGATCCGGCACTGTTCAGATGGGTTAATATCATGGATTCCTGAGTAGCTATTGCCTGGTGGATGGTGAGATCATTGAGCAGTGAGCTCCAGGGGAAGGCTTACTGAGGGGGAGGCTAACTGATCGCTTCTGTCTGACTGACATGGAAGATACAGTTCACCGTGGCATACCCAAATATGCTTCTAGATTAATTTAACAACTTCTGCATGCTATGTGTGGGCAGATACTCACCGCTGGTTAGAGCAAAGGCTAGAAGCAAACCTGACTTCTAGGTACAGATGCTGGGACCCCTTTCTTTACGTCAGTACTCAACAGTGTCGATGCTAATGTTCAGGTAACACTATTTCCTCACGTGACTCATCTCTCCCTTTCATCCTCTGGCTGTCTGAGACAGTTTCTTTTTGCCACTACTTATTTTTATTCTTAATATGTAATTTTTTTTTTACTCTTTGACCAGGAAGTTTTACTCCTAAGAATTTATCCTATAGATATACTTGCATGCACACAAAATTACATGTATAGGGCTATGCATTATAGCATTGTTGGGAACAACAAAACATTGAATAAAATCTAAGTAACCACCAATAGGGAATTATTTGAATTAAGGAAATACCCTGCAGCCATTAAAACTAATGAGGTAGATCTTCAGGTACAGATACGGAATGAGCTGTATTCTTAAGGGAAAAGAAGCAAGGGGCCAAACAGTGCCATGTATGTCAGTTATCATTTATAAAAATCAAAAGTTACATATGCACTCACACACATGCAGACCCATGCACACACACGTGTGTAAGGATTGTCAGTCTCTATCCAGCTAGAAGTAGGAGGAGGAAGCTATGACCAGTGGGTCAGTGATGGCCTGGGGTGGAGAAATTGAGAGTTCTCTCTCCCAGCAGGAGACAAAGCAGTTGGGACCCAGGGATTAATGTGTTCTTTATAGAAACAACCTCCTTTTCAGAGAATCAGAGGTTCCATATTCCAGTAAGTGTGTGAGGTACCCAGCACAGCACCATGGGAGCTCCAGAGAAGAATAAGCTACTGTGTCCACCCTTACCCTGGCCTTTGAAAACCTGCGGGATAATATGCCTTATCTCTGCAAGGCAGCCAGCCTTCCCTCCTGGCTCCTGATCCGAGTATTTATTTTATAACTTGCTGCCACCACCACTTAATTTTTTGTTGAGGGGCCAGCCCCTTTTTTCTCCCTTCCAAAATTAACTCAAACAATCATGCAGTCATTTCTCCAAACCTTTCGGTGTTTATCTGGCATGTTCAATAGTTAATTAGGTGACACCTGCCTTTAGCTCCTTCACTTTAGCTGTGCTGTTACCAACTGGTGACAGCATGCCTGAGTCTCTGTCTGAATTGCAGAGTGGGCTTTTCTTCTGATGGAAAAGATTGATGACCTCTGATTGAACATACCTGGATTCAAAACAACGAATTTCTATTCCTTTTATGTCAAATTGGATTTCTCTATTAAAATAACTCAAATAAATAACTAAAAACAACTCGACCTAAAAAACTGAGCAGAAAAAGATGTGAAAAAGGCCATTACAATGTAGTAGAAATAATAATGGAAAAAGAATTAGGAGGCCCATGGTCTAGTTCTGTCTATGACCTTAAACCTCTGAGCTTGGACACATCTCTTCCTTTTGGGCCTCAGTTTCCTGATCTATAAGGAAGTTGGGGAGTTGGACTTTTTTTTTTTTTTAATTGTGCTTTAGGTGGAAGTTTACAGTGCAAATTAGTTTCTCATTCA